ATATATACATATATATGTATATATATATATGTGTATTTATATATATGTGTATATGTGTATATGTATATATATATATATATATATATATATATATATGTTCTCAAAGGTAAATGCATGAATTAAGTAATAGACCATTGATTTTTGTTTCTTGTTTTTATTGATTTTTGTTTAATGACCATTGTTCATGTTGCATGCTACTTGGAATGATATTTTTTTTAGCATTTTTCAAGCTACAAAATAGCTCTTTTAGGTTTCTGCTTTTGTTGATGTGCTGCGTATACAACCAGCAGGAAACCTCCATCCATGATGGATGACAAATTGTCAACATACATGCTGAAATGGTGAATATCCCTACAATTCTCATACATGGAGAGTGTTTCTCCCACATGTGCCTCAGGTCATTAAAAAAATATCCATCTAACGTGAAGCGACTTTTGCAACAAAGAAATCAAAGCCATCAAAAGTGAGCATGTGATGCCGTTGGTTTCCTGTTTTTGTAACCACATTATAACATGTCTAATCTGCGTCACTCTGACAGTCCCACTGTGCAGCACTCAGTTAAAAAAAAAAAAAAAAATCTGCTAAAAGCTCCGGATCTCAGGCAGCCAAGGGTGAGACTTGGTGGGAGGATGAGGTGGGGGCGGGGTGTTATTGAAGGATGGGGGTCATTTTCTGGATGTCTTGATGGTCAGTGCTTCCCCGCAGAGACTGGCTCAAATGTCAGGTCAGTTCTGGACTGACCCCCACACCATCCCTCCATGCTATTGCTTGTAGTCTTTGTGTCTGTGTGTGTGTGCATGTGTGTCTGTGTGTTTGGGTTTCTGCTTTTAATACGTGGCTATTTTGTTCTTCTTGGTATTTGTTCTATGAAGTGAACGATTGTGGCAAAACATTTTCACCTGGCATTTTATGAATAGGTTTTGTTTGTTTACAAATCATAGAAGAGAAATCCCCACAGTGCAGCTACATTATGTGGCTTCACACAGTCATTGCTGGAACTGTTTAATTGTGCACATCTGATAGAACTCATGAGTGAAACCATGAACCGTTAAAAAGGACATTTACAGTGCAGGAACTTGTGCCAGTAACAGAGAGGCATTTAAAACAAACAGGCCTGACTCACAGGTCTGGTTCCAAAGAAAAGTTGGATTGGTTAGTGTAATTTTGTTAGTGTTATTTTCATAACCTCAACAGTACTTTGCTTGTGATGGAAAATCTAGATCTAGAACACAAGGATCAAGTTTGGGAAGAAGTATCATAACATCAGACTTGACGTGATTGTTGTGTAATCCAGGATTATCATTGCTGTGGTACCTAATACGGGGGGTCTTCAACGATTTCTGTTCCTACTCTGCAATGTACCCTGATTTCTGCGTTATGTACTGTATATTAGTACAGTAGTCCCTCGCTGTTTCACGATTCATCTTTTGTGGATTCACGACTTTGCGGGTTTTTGAAAACTGCATATATGAAATATGCTCTAGCTCGGATTTGGATCTGCAAGAGATGTCACAGGAATGGGACGACGATATGGTTCGATCGGTCCAATTTTGCAACAAAATCGACAACGTCGTGACTGCCTACAAGCTACTCTTCGACTGGAAAAAGAGGCAGCGGAAGCAACTGCCGATCACAATGTTTTTGCAGCCACGCAAAAAAGAGCCGCTTCCTGCGACTACTACTACGGATACACCTTCGGAAACCGAGGAAGAGGTGCCCCAAGAAATGGCACCACCCTCTGAAGAGACGCGAAATCAATCATCGGCTGCTCTGTAAAAGTCATCATCACCTTCCTCGTCATCATTTTACTGCGCATAAATATGGTGTCACTTTGCGGAAATTCAGTTCTCGCGGCAGGTCTTGGAACCTATCTACCGTGATAATATAAAGAAGAACAAAAAGTTCCAAAAAAAACTCACCAACAACACAAACAAAAGAAAGTAAATATAGTACAGTCCAATGTACGGTGAATGTAAACAAAGCCATCTTCAGCATATAGTGCCACGTGGCCATACTTTTGACTAATAGAACGAGACTTTCTTAATAAATGTATGGTACATGGCAACGTAACCGAAACGAAACGCCATAGGTTGAGGACGTTCGTACGTATGTAGACCGTGGACCCCCTGTACCAGGGTTTATTTGAATTCACTGCGTCGGGAATTCTGGTGGTGCTAATAACGAGTATGTCAGGTTTACAAATAGTAACTGAAAGATCCAAAATGACCCACACCACGTGTCCTTCTTCAAAAACTTCTAAGGGTTTGCAGTGTGATCTTCTTTTTGATCTGACTTTTTTTTTTTTCTTTACCATTCACAGGTAAGGCCCTGACCTTCCTGCTGCTGCAGCCACCCAGCCCCAAACTCCCCGCTCATAGCACCATCCGCCGCACCGCAATCGATCTGATTGGCCGAGGCTTTACTGTCTGGGAGCCGTATATGGACGTGTCAGCGGTGCTCATGGGACTGCTCGAGCTCTGTGCCGATGCTGAGAAGCAGCTCGCCAAGTGAGTCAACACACACACACACACACACAAGGTTATTGGCAGGAATATACGTTCTGTTTTATATCCTGAAATAGGTCAATTAAAGCTGGGCTCTGTAATTTCTTTTCCTTTTTATTTTATTTGTTGTAATCCTCTTTTCATTCTGACAACCGTCAATAAATAAAAGTGACAGTTGTTTCACACAGACATAAAACAACGTACATACATAAAAAAGGACTTAGCCGGTCAGTTATAAAACTGAAGGTCAGAGTGATGACTCTAGACTGTGGTCAAACACTAGGGGGCGACTCTTACTGAAGACACAGTTTGAATCATTGTCTACGACTTTGTGTTCTTTTGTCTTGCTTCTTTTCGTTTCCTTTTCACAAATAAAGAATGTGCAGACAGGGGGCAGCATCCTTGCTAAAGACAGCACAGTATATCTTCTGTGACCTCTTTAAATGACCAAGGAGGTACATCTTATAATATGTTTTTTCTTCTTCTTTAAATTCTTTAATTTTATACTTTAGGGTATCTTTTCTTTTACCTTTTATGGATACATCTTATAATATGTTTTTATACTTCAGGGTATCTTTTCTTTTACCTTTTATGGTCAAATTGTGAAAATGTATGTAATAGCATGTAAACCTGGCTTTATTTTTTATTGATAAATGTTGTTAGGGTGACAGCTAAGAGTTGGCCAGCTGGTATTTCACATGGGAAAACTATTTGCAGGAGACAGATTTTTTTCTGGGGGTTGGGGTGTTGATATTGGAGAAAATATTGTGGATGCATTGGTAATTATTTTTAATTATTTATTTTTCTGTTTTTTGTTGGTCTTTGCACTCAGATTCCGGACAATAACACACACACACAAGTAAATTCTTAGGCATCGTAGAGCTGACACACTGAGTTATAACAGACGGGCTTTAATCTGATTACAGGACATTATGATGATGTTTGAATGTCTGTGTTGCTCTGACAGAGAAATCTGTACGTGTGTGTTTGTGTATGTGTGTGTGTCTGGTGTAGCTCTACTCGTGTGGACAGTTTTTTCGAGATATACTATTTTTGTGGCAACATTTTTCAGATCCCCACTGTGTGACAGAGGATTTGGTCCAGTGTTTATTTTAGTGTTAGGAGTGAGGATCGAATTAGAGTCAGGGTAAAGACTGAAGTTAGTCCAATATGTATAGTTAAGACTTGAGGAAGGTGCAAGTGTATGTGTGAGAAGTGCTAACTAAACAAGTGTTGTTTATGATATTAGTCATTAGAGGAATTGTTGAAAATAGGAAAATCCAAATTTAAATATAAATAAATGTCATAGGCTTTATTTAAAGGTTGTTTTTGAGAATTTTGAAAGTGAACCAGAAACTACATGTTACCAATTTTAATTTATTGATACTTATTGGCATAATATGACACCATTTTTTAAACCATGAGTAAATGAGTAAAAAAAAATTTAAAAAAAGCTTTTCATGACTTTAGACATTTTCAAATCATGCAGCACATTGATGAAAGGTGTCACAACTTTAATTTTACCTAATAGTTTTCTGCTGTTTTAACAACTCGCATAACTCCCGGGACTGATGTCACCTTATTCGGTGTGGCCACGGTCCACACTGAACTAATCATAATGTCAGTCAACAGTCATGCATCGGCTTAGCCATTAACAAAGCAGCGCTATCAACTTCTCATTTATCTTGTAGCTGGTGTTTGACCACTGACATGGACAGAAGCTGCTGCAGCAGCCGTCACCTTGACTGCAGGAGGCCAAAGGTCAGGGCTTCTCTTTTATGCGCCATCACAATAGGCTGGTGGTTAAAGTCAAGCAGCGTTTTACACAAAGTCACAGGACGGAAGAAGTGAATTTTTTGCCGAGGCGTAAGCACTTGTCAATTAAAATCCAATTGGCCAACATTTAATGATAATTCAGTTTTATTAAAGTCGGCGAATGCTGGTTGAATAAAGATATTTTTTGTTTTGTTCTAAAACATGCTTGAAATTTAAAGAGAACGTTTCAAAACAAATTTAAATTCAAAATTCAAACAATAGCCTTTCAGCCTCACCAACAGCGTAAATAAACATAGCAAACATAACTTTAATAGACCAGGAAATTTAAATTTGATTTAAATTTAATTTGGGATTTTTCAAAAATACTTTTCAAAATCTAGTCCAGAAATAGCTTAAAGTATAGCCCAAATGAAAAAAACTAAATCTTAATACAACCTACACCGATTTTATTGATTGACATTATGTCAGAATATTGTAATCCAAACACAGTGGGAACACTCGGACATATTGATTGACATGAGGAGAACAAAGGTCCCCGACACTTCCACGCAGGCTCAGCGTCAGCTTCCATGTTCGCGTTCAGTCTATGGTGATGTGCGAACCTTCACACATCATGTGACCTGCATCATGTGACCCAGCACCCCCACCTCTGCTGGCGTCAGCCTGTCACTACAACTGTCAGTGTGTGTGTCACATCAAAGCAGCGGCAGCTGTAAACAGTCAGCGTTGTGTTTTTGTGCAGCAGCCACCAGTCACATGACCCGGGCTGTTCCCTCCTCTTCCTCCCCTCCACAAAAATCAATACTTCCAATCCTCGCTGCGTGTGTGCGTGAGAGTCTCACTATTGACTGGATAATGTCAGCGTGATATTGGCTGTGAATGCTGCCGTGTTGCCAGCTTTACACGCCCAGCGTGAGTGTGTGTGTGTGTGTGTTTTCCTGAGGTACTGACACACATTAGCAATAACTTTGACAATGGCATTTTTTTTTTCTGACCCTGTGTCTAAATATACACAATAGCTGGTGTTGCTTTAAAAGCTGCTTTCTTTTCCAGACCACTTTTCACAGAGGAAATCTAAATTTTTTCATACTACAGCACACACAGACCGCTTAACACACACACACACACACTCTGTCGACCGCTGCGTTCATAATTGGCTTCATTTGCCTTCTTTGAGGCTCCAAGTTGAAATGCTTTATTGTTGATTAGTCTTAATGACACAGGCTCATCAAACCAGGCAGCTGTGGGTCGACAACTTCTTCATCCCTGTCGATAAAAAAAAAAAAACGCTGCTTTTTTTAAATGAACTTTGGAACTCCAATGATGGTAATTTACTAATGAACCTGGTTGGAAAGACTGTAAAACATGGTGTTTATTTTAATGTTATTTAATTGTCTTAAGCTGGAAGACAAATGGATCATTTTAGGCAATTTTGTCTTTTACTTCATTAAGAGAGCCTTTCATGTCTGTGTCCGTGTATGTATGTGTGTGTGTGTGTGTCTCCTGTAACCCTAGTCCCTATGCGGCTGATTTCATTACGTCTTCTAAATGTTGGCCGTTAACCTCGCTGCTGCTCGCTACAATTAGCCCCCTCCAGCCCCCGCCCTATATCAGCACGCTGACTCTTTCCAATTACAGCCGCCTCTCTAGATGAAATTAAACATTTCAATATCCCTGATCTATTGCCAATATATTACCAGTATTAATTACAGGATCTGGAGCCGGGATCTGTGGTCCGAGGAGATGAATCCTGCAGCTCTGTTGTCCCCTCACCCATCACTCCTGTTCCCCCGTCCCTCCCTCTATCTTTCTCCCCAGAGTCATTTGTTAACAAGGTGGCCTTGCTCTCTGTCTCTCTTTCTCTCTCTCTCTCTCTCACACACACACACACACACAGAGGTGTTTGGCCAGCTGTTGGGGTGTGTGTGTCTAATTCTTGTTGCATTGTGGGAGTCCATTATGCTGTCGTCTGCTGAATGGCTCCCATTGACTCGGCCTTGACATTATAAGCTGCCCGTTAATCTCTTCACTCCATATATTAGTCAAGCTCCATCTCTCCATCGCACTTTTTTTTTTTTTTTTTTTTACAAGCAAATTTCGACCCAAATCAATTCCAGAAGTGTTTGATTATTGTTATGTCGCTGCCTCTCTAAACTAATCATTGTTGGTAGACAGAAGGGGGAGAGAACGAGGAAAACATATCACAGTTTGGTGGCAGAGGTTTGGGTATTTTACAGTTAAAACACTTTGTGAAATTTGCAATATTTCACAAAAGAATGATAGATTTGAGTGCAGAAAAATGTCTCTACATATAAACATTTAAAAAAAAACAAAAAGTGAAATGAAAATATTTCATAGAAATGAAAGTAGGCTCAATACAACTTTGTCATGTCTGAGACCAATACTGCAACTATGGAGTATCTGTTGATACCAATGTCTGTTTGATAACTTTTTTTCTCCTGCAGCATGTCGTAGGCAGCCGATAGTGTCACCGTCTACAGCATGTCGTGCAAAGTTGAGTTATACCTTTGGGCTTTGGTATCGGATCAGGCAGGCTACATTTTTTGCGATGTTCGCTACAGAAATGTAAACACTAGATCACTGATCGTGAGTATCAGATCGAGCCATCTTTGGTAGAAAATAAAGTTTGAGGCAACTGAATATGAGCCTGGTCCCGGTCGAGCTGGCAATCACACATGGTGTTCTCTAAACAATGAAAAAGTCCTTAAACCAATGTTGAAAATGTCTTCTTCAGGTGCTATTTCTCATATTTCGCTGCTTATGATCCAAAGTGTCGTGTTGCTTTATAACTAACAGTCACATTGTTTTTGCTCTCTCTCTCTCTCAAGCATCACCATGGGCTTACCTCTCAACCCACCGGCTGATTCTGCTCGCTCTGCCCGTCATGCTCTCTCCCTCATCGCCACAGCCAGACCTCCTGCATTCATCACCACGATCGCAAGAGAGGTGAGGCTTAACGGACCCAGCAGGCATCCGGCTGCAGTAATAACGGAATATTTATTGTCGGCCCAGTCCTTAAGGAACAAACTTTATACCATTATCTTATGCTTAACAGATAATTGAACTTTGTTTAGTTTTTTGTTCCAAATGTTGCCCACTTGGTGCAGTAACCATGACGCTCAGATTTGTGTCCTTCCTGGTTCCAGAGTCGACATAAAACAATGTTTTCGCTCCCTTCTCTAAAACCCCAGGTCCATCGTTATAACGCAGCCCAGGCCAACTCTCAGTCCCAGCAGAACGTTCACACCACCACTCTGGCCCGAGCCAAGACGGAGATACTGAGGGTGATCGACATCCTGATCGAGAAGATGCCCGGAGATGTGGTCGACCTGCTGGTTGAGGTGAAGAATGGAAAAAAAAATGAATTCTTTAGAACATGCCTCACTGTGTTATGTCTTTGGACATTATAATCCCATGTTTCCTTAGTACTACAGGGCCCAATCTTAAGCTGCGCTACGCAACGAAATGAACACAGGTCAGAGTAAAAATGTTATAATATATAAAATATTAAATAGCAGTAATAAATATAAATACATTTTTTATTTTTTACTTATACAAAAAAAATACAAAAACAGATATATATATACGTGTATATATGTATATGTATATGTATATATGTATGTATATATATATATATGTATATATGTGTGTATATATATATATATATGTGTATATATATATGTATATATATATATATGTATATATATATGTATATATATATATATATATACACGCACTGGAATTGAATAATTTTGCACATGACTATGAGTATGTTGGAGTAATGAGGGGGTTGTATCACTTTTATTCAGTTTTGATTTTGCCCTCAGCATCACAGGGAGGAAGCCTTTGAAAAACCTCGCAATGCTCAGACAGAAAATGCTGACATTTTCTGTCTGAGTTTTTTGTCATCGTCCCTCAGGTATTATAAAACCATAAAGCACGGCTTTAAGAAAAATGTTATTGAAATAAAGGCAGCCGAGCGGCTCAGAGGGTGTGGGCTAAAAGCTGCACCCCTGTAGTTCCTACACTTTGTCAAATCAACAATGGCTGATGAGCCGTCCTTTTAGTCACTGGTTCCCCTGGTGGAGACACACTTATATTTCCTGTTGTTTGTTCCTGAGGTCAAATTTTACAGAATGTAAAAAAAAAAAACCAACTATTTTCCTACTAAGAAGATTGTGTGTGTGCTGCTGGTTCCTCAGGTGATGGACATCATCATGTACTGTATCGAAGGTTCTCTGGTGAAGAAGAAAGGCCTGCAGGAGTGTTTCCCTGCCATCTGCAGGTAGGTTTTAACACACACACACACACACACACACTGTTTTTGCTTATATGGTCAGTGTGGGTGGAGGCTTTGTGAGGCATAAAGGCTATTTGACCCCTAAGGCTGTGTGTACCCCTGTCAGAAGGTCAAAGGTCAATTCAGGAGTGATAGAAATCAGCCAGGGGGCAACTGTGTCAGACCGTGTGTGAATAATAAGTGTGTGTTTTCAAATCTCCCCTTCTGTGTGTGTGTGTGTGTGTGCGTCCTCCACCTCCGCAGGTTCTATATGGTTGGCTACTGCGACCGCAGTCACCGCATCGCCGTAGGAGCTCGGCAGGGTTCTGTGGCGCTGTACGATGTTCGGACGGGAAAATGTCAGGTGTGTATTTGTTTAGAGCTGGAGGCAGGAGTTCGGATTAGACCTCGTTGCTGTTCCTCCATCAGTCTGTCGTGAAGGCTCTCTGAGTCTGAGCAGGTGACTAATGATGAGGAGCAACAAAATATGAAGGTGAGAGGAAAAACGTAGAAAACAAGGAGAGGAAGAAAAGGAGAAAAGGAGACGATTTCCCAGAAGGAAAGAAGGTATGGTGAAAGAGGACAGACAAAGGGAGGTCTTAGAAGGGAAAAAAAGGAGAAAATGTAGATATCAAGAGAGCCAAACCGAGGGGCAGGGGGAGGAACAGTAGAGGAGAGAAAAAGAGGAGAGAAAACAAATAAATAAGTAAAAGTTTTTTAAGAAGGCAGGGACGAAGGAAGGAGAAGAAGAAAATCGAGAGAGGACACAAACGAAAGGCTGAAATGACAGGGATCTACGACAGAAAGACGATAAATAAAAGGCACGTGGGAGAGAAGGAGGTGGGGAAGAATGGATGGAGGAATAAAGAGGATGGAAAAAGATGAGTGGATAAAAAAGATGGGGAAAAAAGGGGAGGCAGAAAGAGGATAAAAAAAAGCTGAATGGACAAAAAAAAAGGAAACATTTAGGGAAGAGGTTTTAAGATTCATGGAAACAGTATAAAAGACAAAAGGAGGAGAAGGAGAAGAAGGGAGGGAAAGGAGGGAGTTGGAAATACCAAAGAGGGGAGAAGAGAGACGGAGGAGTAATTACTTTCCCCCCGTAGCTGATTAATGGTGAAGTGATGAAGCTCTTAACTATGTTTTTGTCTTTGCACATGTTATGGCTTGGTCATGTGATGGTGAGTGTGTGTGTTTGTGTGTGTGTACGTACGTATGTATACAGTGGGTGTGTGTATTAGTAATTTGCCGTGTATTGATTTGCAGTAACCCGAGCAGTGTAGGCTGCAGGAGGAGGTCATTTATATCTGATAACAGCACTGGCCCGTTCACCCAACATCCAGAGTGTGTGTGCGAGTGTGTGTGTGTGTGTGTGAGTGTGTTTGACACACAGGCTAAAGACAGAAGAAGCCTTTCCTTTATGTTTTATTTGCAGTAATTAACATTTGATATATAATGTTTTTGCAGGGAACGGTGTGTTTGTGTGATTCTATGTGTGTGTGTCCATGTGTGTGTATAACCATTCAGACCAACCCTGTTCCACGGTGAGGTAGAGCCATCGTGTTTATTAATAGAACAGTTTAACATCTGTTAGCTTTTATGAGTTTGGGTTCTTCCTATTGATTCCGTTTGTCAGTGTATCTCCCACTTTCTGCAGAACTGCTCCCCTCAGCTGATTCCCTGGCTAATGTTAGCATTATGGCTACGTTCACTAAATACAAATCTAATCTGGACATGTGATAAACACATACTGTTGTAGTCTATGCCTAACAAGACTGTACAGTATGTGCAAACACAGCACTTTCACGTATCTGGTTGTGTGACACAAATGTGTTTAAAAAAAAAAACAAACAAAAAAAAACAATAAGTACAGGTTTAACCTCGGAACTGAACTTCAGTTCAACTTTTCCAGAAAATCGATTCCTGCAGGATACAACTAAAAACGTAGGCACATTGGGTAATTTACCGTCACGGTCTTTGGTCTACACAACCCTTTTCAACGTGTTTAAACAAACTACACACACATAATATCTCTGTCTTTTTGCTTTCCCTCCATAGCCAGCCTGTATGTTATAAATACAGTTTCAATTATTATAACTATAATTATTATACTATGATTATACTATATATATATATATATATATATATATATACACACACATATATAACAAGTTTCTACTTGGTGTATTCTGGAGTATAAAAACAAATTCTACAAAACAAGTCTTGGACCAAAATTTGTAGTTTATGAACAACCTTTTTAGGAAACTATTACTACAAATGAATTGTTCTTTCAATATGCTTATCCTTCTAATTGCTTTTACAACAGGATTATCCAGGTTTGGTTCACTTCCACACCGATCAAACTGTCTGTAGAACTCCATATTGTTACAGTTGCTCATATGTGGCAGGAGAGAGTCAAGGAAGCCCAAAATACATTGCACTTTAGGTCCTTTTCTCTGTTTGGTTCACTGGGTAGATTCACTGCATTTTCCAGTGTGAGTGAAATGCTCCGAGGTTTACCTTTAAGTAATCCAGGACACAGATTTTCGGGGCAGACCAGGGTTTGCTTGTTTGGTCCTCAACGGAGTTTGAAGGAGCTTTCACAGTTACCTAAATGAACCAGACTTCATCATTAAAGTGAACCAATCGGCTGCTATGAACGATCCACGTGAAAGGTCACTAAATTATTAGGTCTTTGTAGAATTAGAATTTCCAGTTGGGAAGTTTAGGGAGTCGAAGCTGGTGACGTCAGCCGCAGCAGATGGCTGTTGGTTTTGATAGAGTCGGAGTAAGTGGAGAGAACAGTCATCATCCTGATTTACAGTTTATAACTGTGAAACTGATCCACATCAAACCTACTCTCTGTAATTCCCTCTATTAGATATGTATTGATCAGTGATCGACTGGAAAACAGACACGTGCCGTGCGGTCTCCTCCTCCTGGTCGGGCTGCTGCTCTTTGTCTTCCAGCCTTGTCTCTATTCATTAGGGCTTGATATCATTGTTTTTTGGCCGCTGTTTATAATCAACTGACATTAGTTTGTTCAAACTTCAACCAGATGATTACATTTGAGGATTCTTTTTATTGATAAAAACCTAGTAGTGTAGATGTGAAAGTAAAGTAAAGTCACATTTTGAAACCAACGTATGGAGACATTTTGAAGTTTTATTGAATGACTCTACTTTCTGGCAAAAAAAAAATGAAATGATGTGTTGACAGGTTTTTTAGCAGACAAGGTTTGAGTGAAGAGAGTAAGGACATGACCTGAGAGTTTTGGCCATATAAACCGTGTGTGTGTGTGTGTGTGTGTCTGTCCAACTGTAGCTAGCTTGTCCCTGCATGACCATCTGCCACAGCTTTGATCAGCCTTGGTGAACACTCCTTTGTCAGCTGCATCACTGCCTGTGTGTGTGTGTGTGTGTGTGCGTGTGTGTGTCCAGCTGCTGGCTCTGCTTCTTTAACAGACTCCACCGAGTCCACTAATTGAACACAAAGAAACAATCTGAATGATCTTTCTCTTTATCTCTCTCTGCGTCTGCATCTGTTTCCACTGAAACCGGAGGAATCGCTCTGTCACCGGAGGTGTAGCCTCTCCTCGGGGGGGGCTTCGTGCACCTCCCACTCAGCATCCCATAAAAGGCTGAGCAAATGGCACGCTCACCTGTCAGCCTTAATTTATTAGCTCTTTAGAGTTTATTTACAGATTTATCTCACCTTTTTCTCGGCCCTTTTCGATGCGTTTGTGTTGCTCGATAAACCGCTCTAAATCACAGCACGCGGGAGTTAAACGGGAGGCCAGCCAGTGTCTCCTCTGTGGGTCAGTTACAGTGTGTTATTAATTAGCTTTTGCATTTAAAGTTATAGGTTTGGATTTAATTAAAAAAAAAGTTGGCAGATGGCCTAACAGAAAATTTTGGTACTGATTCCAAACACTTTTGTTTGATGTAATATTTTTGAGATATCATAGACTTTATCTGGTGTTGAATTAATTCATAAAACCTCCCTTGTGTGGTCTACAAAATATAATTAGTCTTCCATTGTCAACATGACATTCTAAGGAATTATCCTTGGTGGCAGCAGATGGCTATGAAAAGTAAAATAAGAAAGAGCTGCTGAGCAGCAGAAAAATGAAGAACAATGTGTCTTTCTTCAATTCCTGCAGGTGCATCAGTGTTTAGTTCAACTAAACAGGAACAGATTTCTCACTGGCAAAGTGAATTGTGAATACGTTGAAACTAAAAGATTATTTTCATTCTTGACATACTTTTTTTATTTTATTTGTTGGACTATGGGATTTTTCAAATCTAAAATATGTGTTGGTAAACACTGCTCTAAGCAAACGTTAATAATCACCAACACCACCTCACTACTTCACATGTACTCACAAGATATTTTTCTACGGCACATATTTTAGTTTTAGAAATTCCCATGCCTTAACAAAAAAAGGTACATGTTATGACATAAAAAAAATCTTTTAGTTTCAATGGAAAAATACGAATCTATGTTTCTCACTTGGAAAAGTAAATTGTAGCTTTGTATTTTTGTGTTGTTGGCAGATGACTATTGAAAAGTAAATTGTACCTTTGTATTTTTGTGTTGTTGGCAGATGGCCTAACAGAACATTTTGGTACCGATTCCAAACACTTTGTTTGATGTAATATTTTTGAGATATCGTAGACTTTATCTGGTGTTGAACTAATTCATAAAACCTCCCCTTGTGTTGTTAGAATCTGTCATTTTTCAGTGCCATTGAGTCACAGTGACCGGTCATTTTAATGTCTTGAATACAGAAAGGCCCAGGTCACATGATCAAGTTCAACACTAACAGTTGATATTTTGAATTTTTTTTAGCCTTTTGCAATCAACACATCAAATACTGAACACACTGTGGACCAGGGTTTATGAAAGTGTCAGTCATTGTGGTAATGGAAGTAAAATTGGGATGACGCGCTTACACACACACACACACGTGCACACAAACACACAAAAACGAACACACGGTGCAGTCCCCGGGCGTCAGGTGTAGTGAAGTACAGAGTTCTGTAAATGGTTTCAGTGTGCTCCACTGCTCTCTGATAGGCTGATTGATTTGGTAGGCAGTCCACCATGACACACTCTCTCTCACTCGTACACACATACACACACACACAAAGCTTCATGATGACAAACATCAAAGTATCTTTTATTTTTACGTTAAACCTTTTTTCCCTCTCACATTTGTTCACACTTGTTGTTGTTTTTTTCATCTATGTATTTTTTGTGATTTTTATAACACATTTTGTTTGTATGTCTGATCCTCTCCTTACGTCCCTGCCCAGGCTGACAGTCGGACGTTTGCGTGATTTGAACCTTGTGTACGACAGTATCCTAACGCTGTATGATTGTTGTATTAATTTACTATTTCATAAAGACGAACTTCTCCCTCCTAAAAACGCCTTCAAGAGACCTTAAAAAGTCAAATCAGACACTGTGTAGTTATGTGTGTGTGTGTAGCTGATGATGTTTGACAACAAAAGTGCTTTTAGACATGACGTGTGTGTCAAAGGACCCTCGGTCTCAGAGCTGATGAATGTCTGCGTCTACTCTGTATGCTGTGATTGTCCTGTTCCAAACAGACGCTGTCACCACCGTGATGTGATGGTCAGAAGAAATTACCTGGGCAAGGGGGGAGGGAGGGTGTAAGTGTGTGTGTATGTGTGTGTGAGAAAGAGAGAGAGAGCGTGAGACAGAGGTGAATAAGTCAAAATGAACGGATTCATTAGAAGGTGACGGGCAGCCTTTCTCAGTCAACACCACAGGAATCTAATATTATTTTCACCAGCAGGGGGAGGGAGGGAACCAAATATTATAAAATGAGATTTTTATTTAATTTTGTTATCCCCCCCCCCAGCTTTAATCGCTGCAGATGTGTTATTATTTCACTATGTGAGCGCTGAAGGCGATGTGTCTTAATCCGATCTGGAGGTGAGAGAGTGTAAACCCAGTCACAGCCAGAGGCGGCAGCGGGTGGGGGAGGGGCTAAGTGTGCGTGTATTTGTGTGCGTGTGTGTGTGTCGGGAGGGGAGTGTTTTCGGGAGGGCATTTATTGCCTTGCACGTCCTGCATCTGCTGGGACGCTTGATTGCGTTACACGCGGCACGGCATGGCTTGATTCCGTCCCCTGAGTTCTGGAGGCGAGCGACAGCATATGTTGGACTAAAAGCTGCCTCCCGGTCTGATGGAATTATCTGTAGGGAGCCAAACAACTTAGGGTTAGGGTAAATGTGACCAGGAGAAAAAAAAAGAGAGAAAAAAAAAAACAGACAAAATTTTAGCTTTTCAGAAAGATTATTATTATTTTGCTAAGAGTCTGAAAAACTACAGAAAAAACCCGTCGTCATGATTCCTTAAACCTGTCTTAGGGCATATTAGGGAATATAGGAAAGTAAAAGGAAGGGAAGGAAAGTCTAAGATTCTCAAACTCAAAATAATGCCCTAAATTTACGGTATTTTTGTTTTTAATAAATAAAATACATTTTGATTCTTTTTTATTGTGTGGAAAAAAATGTGTTATTTCGTGATCAGCGATTTTTTTTTTCCCCCCTCATCCTTAACGTTTTCTCTCCGTCCTTCTCACCCTCAATCTCTCTGTTTTCACTCCAGAACATCCACGGTCACAAAGGTCCCATCACCGCCGTGTCGTTTGCCCCTGACGGTCGTTACCTGGCCACGTACTCCAACGCTGACAGTCACATCTCCTTCTGGCAGGTAAAAAAAATGGAAACTGAACTGCTGCTGTTGGTTTAATATCATTAAGTACACGTGGCCTACGATGGTGTGGGAACCGGGGATGGCTCGATCCGTTAATCAGGATCGATATCTGTGTGATATTTGTCAAGATTTTCAGGATCGAACCTTGAATCCAATACTGCACATCCAAGTCCAAATGCTCAACTCATCTTTGTGCAACATGTCGTGGACACGAACACAGCTTGTGGCATGCTAGAAATGAGAATGAGGTATAGGATTGATATCGATATCAACAGATACTTCATGTTGCAGTATTGCTACTGGACATGAAAACGCAGCATCGAGCTCATCCCTAGTGGAAACAAATCACTAGAATCACAGTCAGTCTGTTCCTGCAGCACATTTAAATCCAATTCATTATTTCAGAGTCACTACTGTAGACTTTTCGTTTGTTCTTGCCACTGACGCCTGACGATTTCCTTTTCAACAATGCGCCTTTTCCGTAAGTGTTCATTCACATGTAAAGTTTGGTCCTGGTCTGTGATCGGACAGAAATAACAACAGACTCTCATCGGTGATTTATTTTGATGCACAGACAGACGTGAGCTTCTTCCGAGAACTGTTATTTTAAATGAAAGGTCTTCACGACCTCTGACACCGCTGTCTGCGCATTGACACACACACACACACATACACACACTAATGGCATTACTGTAAGCATAAACCACTGTGAGCACGCCGGCAAGACGGCTGCTGTGGTAATGAGCTGGCAGACGTTGTGTCTGGTGTGTGTGTCTGGTGTGTGTGTGTGTGTGTTTGTGCGTTTGTGAGGGAGAGGCAGTCGTCCCAGGAAATGATACTCGTGCTGTGCTCCTCCTACGGTACATGCACATATACAGTCAGACCTGTGTCCAGTTTCAGTCGGTGTCTTCGTCACAGCGCCAGAAAAGCTAAAACATCTGGGATTCTGAACATCGTGAAATCGAATCCGCATCAGGAGCGAAGACCATTAAAAAAATATATAAAAAAAATAATAAAACTGTCAAATTTATTTTCACTGCTTCTGCTTCTTTACTCACCAAAGTCTGTAAGGGGAAAAAAAGTGATTTCAGTGTGCAAGGACACAGCTGGTCTACTGCTGCCTCCTGTGGTGTATTTGTGTCACTGCTGGTTAATTTTAAAGAAAGATTTCAAACAAAGAAATTCACAAAAAGAGATTTTAATTAATGAAATAATTCAGGAATGAATGAAGAAAATCTCTGATGTAAAATTGCTAATTTTTTTCTGTAAACATTGGTAAAAGATGGGGTTTGCATGTTTGGTACTTTTGCGAAACTCATTTTTAAAACCACTGCTGTTAGACACTGAAAAGTTAAAGAACAAAAAAACGTTTTTTTTCATTCATGTTAAATTTGTCGGACTGTTAGAATCAGACGATCTCAGGTGAATCTGTCTCCTCCGTCTTTCCCCAGATGAACACCAGTCTTCTGGGCAGCATCGGGATGCTTAACTCCGCCCCTCAGCTGCGCTGCATGAAGACATACCAGGTTCCTCTGGTGCAGCCAGCGTCTCCGGGCTCCCAGAACCACCTGAAGCTGGCCCGCCTCATCTGGACGTCCAACCGCAACGTCATCCTGATGGCTCACGATGGCAAAGAGCATCGTTTCATGGTCTAACGTGGTCTCAGAATTGTCTCTCCAGAACAAAATAGTCCTCTTGTGTCTCATTGGACGATTGTTAGAATCTTAACCAATTGACGTTGTGACTCTGCAGTGATGTGTTTTAGTTTTGCACATTTTCACTATCGTTATTCCCTTTTCCCTTGTTGCTGCAGCTGGTTACCAACACCCTACAGACAATGTTGTGAAGCCAAGAGATCTGCAATCAGAAGAAAAGGTTGTTTTGACACCAAATCAGGGCGAGTGCTAGACGAACCGGCGTTGCTTCATAAGGTCAGCAGGTTAAGAGCACCTAGGGACAGATGGAGTCATTTCTGAAGTTCTGCTAAAATCAACTAAGAACTGATCATCTGCCCAAAAAGCCTGTCTTTAAAAACTAAACCTCCCCATCATGTTCAAACTTCTGCTAAACGTCTTTGTTACACTAACTGGTTTGACATATCTAGTTTGACTCTCGTCAGTCGGATTCCCGTCTACAACATTTTGGGCTGATTGTGTTCACCTAATAATTTCTCAAACTTAGACCAGCTCAGCAGCAGTTGATCTGGTCGGGTTTTTACTACAGACACCGTGCATGATCAAACCCCATCCATATACAAGAAGCTGGATTCAGACTCATAACTTTCAAGGTAGAAAACAAGTACCATATCCACTGAGTACCAGGTATACGTAGGTATAGCATTAAAGTATTTTAGATATCCTGTGATAGTTGTGTACTTTGCTGCTAAGCTAGTTATTGTTACCCAGTTGACAGATTTAACACGAGAACAATGTAGCGCTTAGTCAACATCTAAAGCAACCAGGGTGAGTTTACGCAACAACTTGTAAGGCTAGCTCAGCAACTCACGATTGAACACTTGAGAATTTTTTTCCGAACCTTGACCATTTAGGCATCAAATTTCAAGTTAGATTTCCAGGCAATTAATGTATTTGCTCTACAAGTCGTGTATTTAACGGTAATTCCGAAGTATTCCAGATTGTGTAAAATCTTTTTTTTTTTTTTGTTCTGGACCTGGCCTGCGCGGTTATGTTATGGACCAAATGTTTTTTGTCGATCGTGTCTTGCAAAATCACCTAAACTGATATCTTGGTGAGACACATTTTCGTTCGAACATGCTATAATGAACTAGAGAATATCATCATGCCTTGGGAAGATTCAGGCGCCCCCTGGTGGTTGTACGATCAGGTACATTTCCTCCAATCGTTATTTTTCCTGATCATGAAAATTCAAGACAAATCACCATATTGTGAAGGATGTTTTTTTTTAAATAAGGCTGTGATAAAATAGTACTTTGTCTGATCCCTGGTCAGAAGTGCGGCATCAGGCATTTTATCTAACATCAATCTGAAGCTGAAGAGGAGACTTGCTTAGTTACAAATGTGTTTGAAAGTGGATTTCTCTTCTTTTTTTTTTTTTTTTTCTGCGGAGTGCTGCCATCGTAGCAGCTTGGTGATTTATTATTTTCTGCTCCTTCGGTTTACATATTTGGGAGTTAAGAGAAAGAATCCAAATGATTTAAGTTTGAATCAGTCGTTGTAGTGTTTCCTTCTCCTGTCGAGCAACAAATCTAATGAATGCATCTTGTTTTTTTTAGTTTTCATTTAAACGTTAAATCAGAGGCGGACTCTCAAGTCAGGAGGATTCTCAGCATTATTTTTAATCAGGAGTTCCACGATGATATCACCAATCCTTGCACTGTAAAACTTTAATTATTTTTTTTAAAATCATGAATTCATATAATTTACATGTAGAAAAATAGGAGAATTCAGATGAATGGCATCTGTTTTAAGCTGTTTTTTTTATCATGAATCAAACTGATACAAATAGGTAGTCTTATGAATAGTCTTCGAAATCTTTCCTCTCCTCTCCTCTCCTCTTTCCTCCCCGCCTGCACCTCCTCACACACCTGTAAACCACAGCGTGTCAAAGCTTTTCACAGGTTCTTCTCCTGTAAACCTGTTTTTCTTCACACCGTTAAAGTTGTGATTTCACCTTCTTAACCCCCCCCCCCCCCCCCCCCCCCCCCCGCTTTGGCGGGTGGGGGGAAGGATTCTTTCTGACGTCATCTCTGGGGAGAAGAATGGTGAGAAGAGTGAGAAAAAGGGGATTCAGACAGATTTTTAGATCTTTATTTAAACTCTGTCCTCCATTTTCCATCCTGTTTTCTTTTTTTCTTCTGGTATCCTTTGAAGCAGCCTCACCGTCACAGCAGCTAGAAATTCAAAAAATGTAAAAATTAAAAAGCAAGAAGAAACAAATTGGTGGTAAATCACAACATGAAAACAAATTCGGATGTACAAGAAAACAGGAAATAATTAAATTACAAAATTAAATCTACTATGTTATTAATATGCCACTATTTATTTGTAGTTTTTTCACCTTTTAATATAAATGAAAACAGAAACCAGGAAAAACAGTCCAAAATGAATTTAAACAAAGAATTTTTTTTAATTAATCCAATAATTTTTTTCCAATATTAGTTTATTTAAGCATCCGTAGTTTGATTTTAGGAACCAAATCACTTGTCTCTCTATTCTCACACGTGATGTAATTATTCAGCTTTCTTAATTTAAATTAGTCTTTGATGTGACAATGAAATTAAATATTTATTGTATAGAAACACAGTGAAGATATTTAAGAGTGTGTGCGTGCGTGCGTGTGTGTATATGTGTGTGTGTGTGTTGTAGTGCATGTATCGCAGCTTCTCGGTGTAACAGCAGTTGAAATTGATCGTGCGTCACATAACGTGAGATTGTGTTACAGTTGATGTTGTTGTGTTTGTTGTTGTTGTTGTGTCCAATAAAAACTACCACAATAAAAGGTGTGGTGTCAGACGTCGCTCTTCTCCTGACCTTTGACGTCTTCCACACGACAACAAGCATCACTGACCAGACGTAGGAGGATTACCCAGAATGCAGTTTGGGGTAATGTCAGTTATGTTATTATTATTCATCACTAATATTGAAATAGTTGTATTAACTTGTAAATAATGTACTATTGTTACTAATACTAACTAATATACTCTTTACAGGTGTTCTTGTGTTGTTGGATCAACGATGTCATCGCATTCTCTACAGGTGTTGTTGGATCAACGATGTCATCGCAGGCCAAGAAACCATTAAGTCCAAGTCCAGGTCTCTGAGGAAAGGTTCCAGTCGAGTCCAGGACGTCGTCTCGGATTCAAAGCCACAGACGGATGATGTCTGTTCAAGTCTGAGTCGAAGGGTTTGATCCAAGTCACTGAAGGTCAGAGGTCATGTTCTCAGGGTTCTGGTCCCTGAGTCAGTATAAAACGATGAGAAAGAGACAGAACTTCTCGTTACCGACTTCTCCTTTTTCTTCCATCACTTCCGTCTTCCTTCTCAGATTGTTCCTGCTGTTCTCATTTCTTTTTTGCTTGTTTGTTTTCACAACTCAACATTTTTACAGTAAAATCGATCACTCTGTCCTACTTTAGTTTTTATTGTAAACTCCCTCCCCCTGTGCGTGTTTTTTTTTTTTTTTTTTTGAAGTTTCCCGTTTTTCTGTCTTATTGATGTTCTTAACATTTCCTGCGCTTCGGCGGTGAAGGATTGTTTGGATGTTTTTCTTCAGATTCAGAAAGATTATCATAAGATCTGCTTCTTTTTTTCATGATCAATAGCAGTTCAGTTTGGTGGGAAAGAGAAAAGTTGGAGTGTTTCATCAGAAAACCAACATTTAGGATTTGACTGAGTTTGATTGTTGTGTCTTTAATGACCATGAGGTTGAACTGTCACTCAAAGGAGACGGTTGACACCTGAGCAATCAAATGGTAATAACTGATAATGATTCATCCATCCACCTGTCCATCCTTACATCCAACCATACTATATAATATCATCCATCCGTCAGTCTACTCATCCATCCATTCATTCTACCATCCATTCTTATATCAATTCATCCAACCTTTCATCCATCTAATTTATTTATCCACTCATCCGTCAATCACTCATCCATTCATCCTGACATCCATACCTTTATTAATCCATCCAAGTGGCCTTACAGCCATCCACCGTTACACCCATCCTTACATCCATCCATCTCTCCATCCTTACATCCATCTCCCAATTAATCTTTACATACATTCATCCACCTATTTATCCTTATAGGCATCCATCTCGCCATTCTTACATCCATCGTCCATTCTTACATCCATCCATTTTTACATCCATCCGTCGATCTCTCCATTATTACATCCATCCACCCATCCTTACGTCATTCAACCATTCTTACATCCATCCATCCATTCTTACATCCATTCATCCATCCATCCATACATCCATTCATCCATCCATCCATACATCCATTCATCCATCCATCCATACATCCATTCATCCATCCATCCATACATCCATTCATCCATCCATCCATCCATCTCTCCATCCATACATCCATCCATCCATTCTTCCATCCATCCGTCCATCCTTACATCCATCTACCAATTAATCTTTACATACATTCATCCACCTATTTATCCTTATAGCCATTCTTACATCCATCCTTACGTCCATCTGTCCTTCCGTAAGTCCATTCATCTCTCCATCCTTATGTCCATCCATCCATCCATCCATCCATTTTTACATCCATCAGTCGATCTCTCCATTATTACATCCATCCGTCCATCCTTACGTCATCCAACCATCCTTACATCCATCCATCCATCCTTACATCCATCATCTCTCTGTTCCTACATCCATCCATCCTTACATCCATCCATCCATCCATTGTTGTTGGTTTATTTTTCACAAACCTCCTGTTGTTTCAAACTAAACCATAACTTTATATATTTGTCTGACACACACACACACACACACACACACCATCAGTTGTGTGTGTGTGTGTGTAGGCTGTTAAGTTTTCTGACAGCAATCCCTCCCTAAATGTTACAAACTCAAGCATTAACCAGTCTTAATCTTCAGTCTTTACTCCAGACTCACTCTCCTCAGAGCTGATTATTAAAACTTCAGCTCACTCTCACCTCCTTATCTCTACAAACTGTTTTAAACTCTGCACTTATGGTGTGTGTGTGCGTATGTGTGTGTGTGTGTGCGAGCCTCAGCCTCCTGTCAGCAGCAGCTCATCTCAACATCACAGCTTCAACCTGCTAAGTTCCTCTAATCCTCACCAAGTATCTGTGCATACTTAAACGTGGGACACAGGATTAAAGAGCAGATACGGAGCAGAAGTCGATGTTAAAGCTGAGAGAAGAGGAGATCAAAACCAGGACTATGTGTGTTTAGCTCTGACACCGCTGACTCTTAAGTTCGAGCGGGGGAGGAGGAGGTTGGATGAGTTAAAAGCAGAGCCGCTGTGTTCCTGCTCAGCTGGAGATAAAAAAGCGTCGGCGTGAAGCAGAGTTCTCCCTCACCTCCCTCTGCTCTGCTCCCTCAGGTGGGCTTTAGAAAACCCACCGAGTAATGGAGACATGAGGAGATGAAGATCTGAGCTCAGGTTAAGCAGCCTTTTTTTTTTTTTCAATCCACCTCCGAGGTTGAAGGCCTGGAGCAGCTCTCTCCTTATTAAACCTGTGGGCAGTGTGTGAGGAGGTGAGTGTCAGAGTAATGTTCTTCCTAACTGTGAGCATCAGGTGAGAAGAAAACCAAGCGTCTTCTCTTTGAATCTTTAAAGAACGTGCTGTGACCACAGACTGGACTCTTAAACAGAAGTCTCTGTCTCCTCTGTCTCTTTCCAGGTATCAGGTTCACCTGGTTTCAAGGTTCAGTTGTTGCTGCACCAGATCATCGGCCTCCACCTCACTGTCTCCTGTTTCCTCCACCAACCGCTATCTCCACGTCCTCCTTCAGTAAATCCACCAATCTCATCTCCTTCACTTCTTCATCTCCATCTCCATGATCTGTTTCCAGGTCATGTTCTAACCATCTCTCCTCAGTCCCTTTTTCTTCTTCTCCTCTTATCCTGCTCTGCTTCTTCTCTTCTTCTCTTCTCTCAGTCTTTATCTACAAACAATTGACTTTTCTTCTCCTCTTTCTTCGGCTTCTTCTCCACCTCCTCACTCTCTTTATACTCCCTATCTTTCTTGCCCTTGTTCTTCTTCTCCTCTTCTCTGCTCTGCTTCTTCTCTTCTTCTCTTCCTGGTCCTGGTCCTCTTCCTCCTTTGTTTTTACCCAACATTTCTACATTTTCTACTTCCTCTGCTTCTTATTCCTCTCTTCCTCATCATCTTTCTATTCCTCCTCTTCTTCCCTTGTCCTCCTAACATTGTTGTTCCTCTTCTTGTCCTTCTCTTTCTTCTCTTCTTTCCTTCTTCTTCCTTCTTCTTCTCACCAATTTTTATGTTGTTGTTCTTCCAATTTCTTAAAGTGAACTTCCTGTGAAACTTAGAGCCAAAGTTAATACAGTAATACCTCGAGATACGAACGTCCCAACATGCGAGTATTTCGAGATGCGAGCAAAGATTTGAGAGACGACCTCAAACCGAGTTTACAGACGCCAACACTAGGTGGCCGAGCACTCGGAGCAGCCCACGCCGCTTCACTCGTTCACTTCACTTCTGTACACATCTCCCGCGAGTCTACCGTATTGTGTTTGCGTTATCTACATGATTTTCTCTCTATTTTGTGCATTATTTTTCATAATAGTGATGAGTCCTCAGAGAGTGAGTGGTAAGGATGGTGGTGAGAAGAAGAAACACATGATGATCATGGGAATATAGCACGAAATTGATAATTATGAGCGTGTTGCCCGCTAAAGAAAGGATACAAATTGAAAAAAGTAAAAAATATGTAAGTTAAGTTA